AGAAAACAGTAGATCGGAAGTACACAAATTCCTATTGGCACTCGATAGGAAAGACTGTAGGAACATGATGGGGAAGCACTTAATTTTGTAATTTATACCATTCTTTCACTATCATAAAAAATACTAATAATAATTCAAACGAATGTCGTAATTTGCCGAGTCTCTGCACCAATTGAGGCACACAAAATCCAAAATCCAAATCTCTCAATTAATCCATGCACATATAAATTTAAGTGGTTTCTAGTGCTTTATTATATTTATGAGTTTAACAAGTAGCAACAACAAAGCGCAGACTCTCTTCTATGAAACGAATACATAACGGCACATTTCTATGAAATCGCTCAACAAACCATAAGTGGTGGCTTGACCTGCACCAATGTCAGCGAAACAACAATGCCGGCGAAAAATGCACTTTGTGGCATGCACCGACGCCTCAACGCTTGCCAACAAATCAGAGCTTTGATGACGAATAAGGCACACTGCAGCACTTCAGCGTTGTGCTTATCTGAAATTAAAATTATTTGCATAAATTGCTCGACTTGCCGTGTCTTAATAATATACAATAATAAATACACAATAAAACAAAAACAAAGTGGCTAACCGCAAAGTGACGAGTAAGCGAGTGAGCGCCACTGAGCTTGAAGGAGCTGCTGCTGCAGCTGGTGTAACGGCAGAATGATGGACACACATAAATACACCTGTCTCTTATACACATCTAGATGTGTATAAGAGACAGCCGCAAAGTGACGAGTAAGCGAGTGAGCGCCACTGAGCTTGAAGGAGCTGCTGCTGCAGCTGGTGTAACGGCAGAATGATGGACACACATAAATACACCGAGTGGATGGCTTGAGTGGCACTTGTGCTTGCCACACAGTAAATTTTGTGCAGATAATTGTGCGCTGATGCACTTAACCGATGGCCCAAAGCTGCAAACTGCGGTCGACGGCGAGCGGGCGTGCGGACCAAGAAGAGAGGGGGCGGGTCGCCAGCTTGTTTGGTTAATCTTAGTGCTGCAAGAAAGGAAATAGATGTGCAAACGTGACCGACCACGGTAGTGGGGGAAGCGCGTGGGGCATGCCACGAATCTCTGGCAATGCATCGATGTCACTGCGGCAAACAAGCGCTGCAGTCGCTGGAACACAGGCACACACACACACACACACACTTACGCAGTTAGATAAGCTTATGTGCGAGTATGCAAATGGAGTCTCCAGCTCTGTTGCAAGGGAATACGTTTTAATCATATGCGACATTTAGGGGCACCGGCTAGTCCGTCCTTTGGTGTGGCACAATTGAGCGACTAACCGCCTTAAGTGCCAACCCATACACACACTGCAGCACACATTCACATGTGGCATGCGTGTTGCAAGTGTGTATGTGTGTTATGTGCGTATTATCCGCTTGTTAACATTGTGAGCACGCATGTGAACAACTGTTGCGTCTGTGTGTGTGCACTACCGTGCATCTTATTATGCAGCTCCTTGTAGTTTTGCTTTGGTCTGTGTGTGTGTGTGTGTGTGTGCGTTTGGAACCATGAAGCAAATTAAGCGTTTAATAAGTTGCCATCGGCTCACACGCACAAGCGACATTCAGATATAATTGGCACCCGAAGGCGAAAGTGTTGCTGACACAATTTGGGGACGATCGGGCAATCAGTTCGGCAGTCGCTCCCGAAATTTAGTATTGCAATTTAATGCAACCGAGTAGATGTGTGTTTAAATTCATGTAATTTAATGTTTATAGGCTCTAAATTAACGGTACACACCTCGCACATATATGTTATGTAACTACAAACCTACATAAATACATATGTGCTCATCGTCATGTTTCTATTTCTGATTTCAGATTATGTAACACATTTGAGTTTTGAAGTATTTACATCTCAACGGTCCGGCAACAAAAAACGAAGCTTTTGCCTTAAATGTTTATAAGATTACTATCTGAAAGTGGAAGCTTATCATATTTGGTAGAATTCTGTAAAAGACTTAAAAGGGTACAATAAATGAGACAATGATTTCGACAGGGCATACCTAAGACTGTAGATGTGACATTCGACAACCTATGGTCATTTACTCTTCACACGACCGCGATTATGCCGAATTCAGAGCCGCAACAAAATCCTCAAGTCGCTAGCCGGYAGCACATGAGAAAAGACAAAGAAACGTTGTTGGCAACGTGCAAGGCAGTCGGCTTGTAGCGGAACTGTCTCTTATGAGTGTCAAGAGATCCTTCCTCAAACACGTCGACGACATAAAACCATACGCCGACCAGAAACCAACAAACTTCAGACATCCACTACCCCTCAGTGAATGGCGTACTTGGATTGGAACCACCAGCCATTGCAGGCAAAGAGCTCGAGTTGTCGAGAGTGACTTATCCAGAATCGACACTGGCATACTTATAAAACATACATATGTATRTMYAKC